TATACGTTACAATTGTTTAGGTAAAATTCTAATAAAACCAAATAAAGTAATTTATGAAATTTAATTTGTGATATTATATCACTGATATACAATAAAAATATTGATTATAATTTTAAAAACTTTTATTCTGTTAAAAACAACTGAATTGTAAAGACTATTATTTAATTTAGATCGATTAAATAAACAAAATTGCAATAAAAGTTTTACATTCAATATTGTAATCAATAAAGAATTTAATATCTGAAAAAGGAATATGAGATGAGTCTCCAAAAAATGCTTTAATTTTAACTTTCAATATTGCTTTCGAACTTTCCCTATAAGATTAAAGATTAAAGATTTAAAGCGTTTTTGAAACTCATTTCATATTCCTGTATCAGATATTACATTTAAATATAGATCCAATTTTTTAATTAAAAATATAATAATTGTACAAAATACAATGCTATTAACATAATATTTTCATTTATCTAACATATTTCTCAACCTGGTGCACAAAACATAAAATATGTTATTAAACAAATATTTTTAAAAATTTAAACTTCTGTCTCAACATGTTCTCTATGATTATCATTGTTATCATTGTCACCTTGATTACTTTTATCTCGACCATCATCGCTTGACTTAATTACAACTTTACTTTCCCTTACGGTAATCATCCATACAATGACTGATATAACGATAATACCGACAATCGTAAGCATCGGTAGCGCATAAATGGGCGATTGTGGCACTCCTTAGTCCCTAAATAGTTCACAAAATACATAAAATTACTTCAAACTTACATACAGTTCACAAATCTATGCCATACCTAAAGTAAAATCAATTTCTCGACATATGGTTGCCTCGACGTCCCAACTCGAGTTGTGTAGACACGTACGCACTGAATGGACCTCAAATTCGTAGCCGGGCTTACATTCAAACTCAACGGTCGTACCGTCGATGGCATACCATATGTTGGGCTCATAAGCGTACGAATCGTTTACGGAAACCAACGCTTCGGACAATTCATTGAACTCTATTTTGCAGAACATTTTGGGCACACATTTCGGACTACCGGCCCAATTAGGGTCGATCGCACAGTCACCTAATGTCTGGTCAGACTCATCCGGATCTTCGGATTCATTGAAGTCGTACGACACGTCGTCATCGCATTCAACGCGTTGTGTCTCATCATTATATTTGGCTAACAGGGGAACGGGAGGTTCGCCACAGTAGCTCAGTCTTGTCAGGTAGACCTGATGCAAACCCATCGGTGACTTCATCTCAACACTCGAGTCGGTTATGAATTTAATTATAAGACTTTTAGGCATATCTTCATCAGTACTCTCAGAAACATCCCGTTCTCTACACCAGATCCAAAATATTTTAGTCAATCCGTCCCGAGCAATAAAATCTAAGCTACAGTTCCTGTTATCCCGTCCCTCAATTCGCACATCCATAAACTCTATGGGATCTATATCTGTAGGAAGTGCCTCCTGTCCCGTCAGTTGTTTAGGTATTTTGATATTCAATAGGAAAAAGTCAAATACGAGTGACTGGTTGAACACTAACCGCCATTAATGGGGTACATGAGGTTTGGGCACCTGAACAGCCGTTCCCTTTCCATCATAATATGACACCGGGTATGCACTGTTAGAATAGGCACTGGTATTCATGTCCACAACAGTTGTATTATTTAGCAAATTAATAACTTTGACACCAATTAACTGATTCTTAATATAGTGTCCGCACGTGGATCTCGTGCCCACCCATACACCGGACATACACCTCATGGTCTGTGTCTTGGAGTAGAGCTTATCGTAAGCACAGCTATACGTGACTTCATCCCCGTCCTGGTAATCAGTCTTTTTGGGATCAATATGTGTGTCGTGGGGTAGACCTGGATATCCACACCGACTGTGAATGTATTGACAGTTATATGAATAAAACACATTTAAATACAATATAAGAAAAATATTTATATTCCCAAATAAAGACATTTTTATTTATTAAACAATTTTGCTGTAATTTATTATAATGTTTATTTTAAATTGTTTTGTAATTATTAGTGTTTTAATTAACTCTTTTCTATAATAAGTTATTATCATTTCCGGCAAAAACATGATAATTGTTTCAATATTTTCCAAGAAATAAGTGAAAACCTTTAACTTAATATACGTTTCCTTTTATTATAATGATTTACATTTTGTAAGAGACATAAGTGCATTTATGCAAATTTGACCATTTAATTTAAAGCTATTATTTTATATTAATATTAAAACAGTTAGATCCGTAGAGTACAATATTATTAGTTATAATTATTAAATTAACACTTTTAACATTTTTATCAGCTTTATAATTATAATATATTGATTATACGGCATAATTTATACCTCTTTATTTAACAATAACTTTACCTTACCTTAGATTTATCATCCATACAATGACTGATATAACGATTATACGAATTCATAAGTTAGAGATTATGTCACCCCTTAATGCCATTTAGGAAAAATATTTTATTTATTTTTACTTATTTTAAAAATTTATTTTTACTTATATTTATATATCAATTTTATTTCATTTTTGAACAAGCGTATTTAGAACAAATAATTTTAGAAATTTGGTATTAATTAAGTGCAAAATTAACTTCCAAATAATAAAATCTTTAAGATATGAGCATGAATATAAATTAAATATATAGATATT